GAGTTCAGACCCTGTCGTCGCCAGGAGGCAGGCAGTGAAAAGCCACACTTAGGTACCCTTGATTTTTAAAGATGTGGGTTTTTCTTCTGGGAGGAAAGTTCTAGCATGAGATTTTTGTCCATTTGTTATGTAAGAAAACACTCATTTCTCCTCTTAATTGTTGCAGAACAAGAAGGACTTCCAACTCGAGAATGTCCATCTGATTGGCTACAGTCTCGGGGCCCATATTGCTGGCTATACTGGAAATTATGCCCGGGGCACTATCGGGAGAATTACAGGTAAGGGGACCACCTGGTGGCTTTCTCTTGCTTTCCAAAAATCTCATTGCAGAGATTTGCCTCCTGTTTCTGCAACTGTCAGATGTCCCATTTAGTCAGTGGTGGGATATTTTTACTTCTTTTTTTACTTTTTTAAAAACTTTTTTGTGGGCGTGGCTTGGTGGGTGTGACATGGCTTGGTGGGCGTGGCAAGGGAAGGTTACTGTAAAATCCCCATTCCCTCCTTACCCCACTAACCTGCTTTCCAGCTCTGTTCTCCTGTGCAGGGCAACAAAAGAAGATCCAGCCGATCAGCTGGGACACGGGAGGTGGAGAAGAGATGGGGGCGGGGCCACTTAGAAGTGGTATTTGCTGGTTCTCTGAACTACTCAAAATTTCTCTACTGGTTCTCCAGAACTTCTTGCATTTAATGCAAGAAGTGGTTTCGTAGCCCTAAAGCAGCGGTCTCCAAACTTGGTAACTTTAAGACTTGTGGACTCCACAAGTCTTAAAGTTGCCAAGTTTGGCGACCCCTGCCTTAGAGAAGTAGTCCAGAGGTCTCCAAATTTGGCAACTTTAAGACTCGGGGACTTCAACATGGCTGGCTGAAGAATTCTGGGAGTTGAAGTCCACTAGTCTTCAAGAAGTTGCCAAGTTGGGAGACCCTCTGACTTAGTTGACCCTGACTAAGTTGTGGGTGCTAGACTTCAAGTAATTAATCAAAGCCATCAAAATAGCCACTCAAAATAGCTTTGGGTAAACCGATCTCATCTCTAGGCTGCTTTCGATGCACGCCCTTGGGGGTAATTGCAGAGCTGTGTTTTGGTCAAGGCTGGGTTGTGGTTAGTGGTGGACGGGGCCAAAGTGAGAAGGCGGGAGGCCATCTCATTTCGGTCTCGCCTTCTGTCTTCTGCCATGTCATCAGCTTTTTGATTTCTAGTGCCCTCAGTCCTTCATTACACATGAGAAAAGTCAAGAAAAAAGGATCTTTTATTGGCATTTGTGGCAGATTTGCACTCCTCAATCCACCTTTAACTTTAATTGCCATGTGAAACTTTTATTCCTAATTCTGTGTGTACGGTATGTGAGTTTAAGTAGGTATGTGTCCTTTTGTCTGTGTGTGCACACCCAGCACCTTATTGTGCCAAGAATATTTTCCCCAAACTTTGCTTCCAGTAGAGGATCTACTTTATAATTCTCCTTTCAAACCAAACAACCTGTCACCCCAAGGCTATGAGGGATTCCCAACCCTGCCTGCCTTTCTCAGAATGGGCTGAAAATATGCTGTTCTTTTGAGGCAAAAATGTATGACAATTTTGCCTCAAAAGTCCCTTATGGGAGGCATAAAAGTTTCATAGTTCTTTTGTGAATGAAAACCTTCTTTCATTTTCTTTTTTGCCTTCCTGAGATTTCCTACATGTTGGATGCAAGTTCTATGAGATAGCAAAAAAGGACTTGCAAGAAATGTAGCTCTTTTCTTCACCAAAAAACCTAAGTTTATCAATGTAGGTGGGCCATGGATTCTGTACAGTCCCAGAAAGCTAGTTTCGTATTCTACGTACAACCAGAGGTGGTATTCTGCTGGTTCTGACCAGTTCTGGAGAACCGGTAGCGGAAATTTTGAATAGTTTGGAGAAACAGCAAATTCCACCTCTGACTGGAGATTTTACAGTATCCTCCCCCTGCCACGCCCACCAAGCCACGCCCACAGAACCCGTAGTAAACAAATTTGAATCCCACCACTAGTACCAACCCACTTCCAAATTTGGAAGTTAACCATGAGATCCACCATAACATAATGGTTAAAGTAGCATTAAGTTTGTCCCCGCTGCTGATGTAGACTAACCATTCCTCTGATGAGGTACAAAACAGGTTCTTCTAGAACAGAGTGTGGGGAACGATGGCCCCTTGATGGCTTGTGGACTTCAACTCCCAGAATTCCTCAGCCAGCCATCAGCCAGCTGCCTCAGGAATTCTGGGAGTTGAAGTCCACAAGTCGTCAAAGAGCCATCGTTCCCTACACTGTTCTAGAAGAACAACGGCCTTCAATTATGGTGAAGGGCTAACCACAGGCCTTGGATATTCCAGGCTTGGATCCAGCTGGACCGATGTTTGAGGGAGTTGATCCAAGCAAACGTCTCTCTCCCGACGACGCTGATTTTGTGGATGTCTTGCACACGTACACAAGAGAAACGCTGGGCATCAGCATTGGGATCCAGATGCCTGTGGGTCATATCGACATTTACCCCAATGGAGGAGACATCCAGCCAGGATGCGGCCTTACTGACATCTTGGGAACGCTCGCTTTAGGGGGTGAGTTGACTCTTCTGCTTGATCTATGAAGTTGCTTCAGAGTGTAGGAGCTTCCCAGAGGCAGGAATGCCACTGTTCTGACCTAGGTTTCCCCAAAAAGCACTAAGCAGAGTAGCAGACACTTTGTTCCGGCAAAGCCTCTTTTATTAAACGAAGGTGAATTTCTTGCATTCACATTCAGCCAAAGGCCTGGCAACCAGTCTTTCAAGGGCGTAATTAGGAGCACAGACCTTATCTAGCCTGGAGAGCTGCCAAATAAATATTCCCAAACGCAGTGCTGACAAGGAAGGACTCAGCACAGAATCTCTGAGATGCACAGACAGATCTTCACAGTGCTGCAATAAATTGTTTCCTGCAAAAGCCCCCTCCCCTTTTGCTCCTCTTTTAATCCTTATGGAAGGGGCTATTCACCTGTGGCCTTACTCCCACATTGACCATAGTTGAACAATGGGCTCACTTAATGACCACTTCAAAAAAGGTTGTAAAATCAGGCTTGGTCACATGATGAGCTGCTTCCTGACTGCCATTACTTGCAACCATAATGGACAGTTGTAACTAGAGGTCTGCCTGTGAAATGTTTAAATAGTAAAGCTTCGGTACCATATGAGCAGTACTAAAAGTTATAGAAATGTTGCTTTTGATAAAATGTGTTTTATACTAATGTAAAGATTATACGCTGCTGTAGATCCATATGAAGTGTGGCAGTACCTACACAAGATTACAGTATAACAGAGTTGGAAGGGACCTTGGAGGTCTTCTAGTCTAACCCCCTTCTCAGGCAGGAAACCCTATACCATTTCAGACAAATGGTTGTCCAATCTTTTCTTAAAAAGCTCCAGGAAGCGTTGTGTGTCATTCCATGAAAGCCAGCCGGGTGATTAATCGTTCTGTTAGGAAATTTCTCCTTAGTTCTAGGTTGGTTTTCTCCTTGATTAGTATTTTATTATTTTGTTTACTACAGTTTTTGACCAGAGACCAGAATAAATAAAAACGCTCACTAAATATACAATTAAAAATTCTAGTAAATAATCAAGTAAATTAGTAAAGAATCAAAATAAAAGGGCAAAATTGAGGAACTGTTAAGGCAAAAAATTCTCTAAGCACTTATACTTTCAGTATCCACATTCCAGAGGAATATCAAGCTATTTCTCCAAACGTCTTCAGTTCTCCAAGAATAGCAACAAAGACCACATTTTCTAACCTTTTATTTTCAAGAAAGGGTTTCCAAGTCAAAGGGAATTTTTTTTAATGTGGAAGATTTTTTTTCTCTCTCTCATTCTTCCAATCCCAAACCACTGCACTTCTCAATTTAACTCTGGTTAAATTGCATTATTCAGAACAGATTCTCGAATTTGTGATGAGCAAAGTCTGTCCTATTTGAAATGTAGTGGCTTCTCAAAATTTGAAAATCCTGTCTCTGTTGTTGTGACGAGTCTAGGGTTTAGAACAAGGGTCTTCAAACTTGGCAAATTTAAGACTTGTGGACTTCAACTCCCAGAATTCCTGAGCTAACATGACTGGAGGAGGAGTTCTGGGAATCGAAGTCCACAAGTCTTAAACTTGCCAAGTTTGAAAACCCCTGGTTTAGAACTTTTAGAAAATTTCCAAGCAATGACATGGCACTTCTCATTTTGATGCATTTTTATCAGAACCAGTTGTGCATAATTGCCTAATTTAGCCACAACTACTTGCAGAAGACAATATATTAAAAACTGACTCAGTTTGCTGAGATTTGTACAACATGCAAAAACACAGATGGAAGCACCTTAAATAAACTTGGGATATGATGCATTACAGGTATACCTTGATTACCACAATTGACCCCCAAATTTCCATGGCTAAGTGAGACAAGTTGTTAAGTGAGTCTTGCCCCATTTTACAACCCTTCTTGCCACAGATATTAAGTGACAGCAGTGGTTAAGTTAGTAACCCAGTTAAGTGAATCTGTCTTCCCCATTGACTTTGCTTGTCAGAAGGTCGCAAAAGGTGACCCCATGATCCTGGGACACTCCAACCATCATAATATCAGTCATTTGTCAAGCGTCTGAATTTTGATCATGTGACCATGGGGATGCTGCAATGTTTGTAAATGTGAAAAATAGTCATAAATCACTTTTTTCAGTGCCATTGTAACTTTGATCACTAAACCAATAGCAGTAGCACTTAGACTTATATACCGCTTCATAGTGCTTTACAGCCCTCTCTAAGCGGTTTACAGAGTCATCCTATTGCCCCCAACAATCTGGGTCCTCATTTTACCCACCTCGGAAGATGGAAGGCTGAGTCAACCTTGAGCTGGTGAGATTTGAACTGCCAAATTGCAGTCCGCCGGTAGGCAGCACAAGTAGCCTGAAGTACTGCACTCTAACCACTGAGCCACCACGGCTCAAATGGTTGTAAGACAAGGACTTCCTGTATTGTTACTGTCTTTTCCCTGATTTGATGAACCATGTTGTGTGAGCATAACTACTGAGAAAGTATTTCAAACAGTCTCCAAGACAAAATCCAATGCAGCTTCTACCTCTTTGGCCTTTCTTTCCATATAGGATCCTTGTGAGCATTAGAACAGGATAATGCCCAGTGAAATATTAATAAAATCATCTTTGGTATTTTTTCTTTACCATATAAATACTAGACTTCTTTAGGCCTCCAATTTGGGTATCAAGGAAGTTACAATGGCAAAATTGACTTATATTTCAAGGTTGCTTTAAAGCAGCTACCTCTTAAATATTTTGGCCTGCAATCAATGAATATGTGATGGTGGGGGGATTTTTTTTTTAGACAAATGGCTGTCTAATCTCTTTTTAAAACTTCTACTGATGGAATACCCACAACTTCTGGAGGTCAGTTGTCCCACTGATTGATTGTCCTCATTGTCAGAAAATTTCACCTTAGTTGCGAGTTGCTTCTCTCCTTGATTAGTTTCCTTCCGTTGCTTCTTGTCCTGCCTTCAACTGGATTATCCCTTCTTCTCTGTGGCAGCCCCTTAGATATTGGAACAGTGCTCTCATGTCGCTTCTAGGCCTTATTTTCATTAAAATAGAGGAGGAGGAGGAGGAGGAGGAAGAGATGCCATCTTGCTGGTTTTGACCTTCCCACATGGCTCTTGCTGCCGATTTTGGTTCCCCTGACCATCGAGCAGTATGATCAAAAGCCCCATTCCTGGGAGGCATTATGGGATAGGGTAGTCCCCAAATTCTGGAAGGAGCCTAGACTAGGAAAGGCTGTGTTTAAGGTTTTCAGTTAGAACACCCTCTGGAAGGACTTTAAACTACAACACACGTTTTATAAATGCAAAGCCATCATTTAAACTTCAGACATCTTTCTTGGGACTCTCACTCCTGGCGATAGGAAAGAAAAACATGCCCGTGTGGGCTGCTTGGCTAATGAACCTGAGGCTTTGTGATAATTGGCAGTCGCTTGGAAAACTCATGCCTTCCCATTTAAGGCACTGCGCAAAGCCATTTCAGTGTATGAAATGTTTCCAACTGGTTCTGCCCCGTCCTTATTATTTAAATGATATGTGTGTCCTTTGGGCTGCACTGCAACATTCTTGGCTAGTGGCTTGTCTGGTTCTGGGCCAAGCTGAGCTCGTGCTTGCCCTGCGCTCCAAAAACCACCATAAATTTTGTGCTGTCCCTGGGGAAATGCTCCTCCCTTTGGGCTGAGCAGGAAAATGCGAAATTGCAATGCAGTGTTTTTCATCTGCACATACACGCGTGTCTCCCACGCGTGCACACCAGATACCCAACGATCAGCTGTTGGGCGGTGGCAGCGTGTGTGAATGCAGAGTGGGGCTCTTCTAGGCGAGCTCTCGCGTGCCGGCAGAAGTGGCTCAGCGTGCTACTTCCAGCACGCATGCCATAGATTCACCAACATGGTCCTAGGGCCTGGTCTGGAAAAGATATCCCAGCTCTGGGGAGGAGGGAGCAACTCCCAGTCCATCAGATGTGTTCCCAGTAAGGATTATGAGACTGGCAGAGTCTCTTTCTGTCTGTCTCTCTCTCTCGTGGGCTTTGCTGCTGGGTGGTTGCAGGGAGAGCTGCTCTGTGGGGAGACAGAGTGGATGGCTGCTGGGGGAAGCCCAGCAGTGGGGATACAGAACCAGGACCCAAGTTTAAGTAAGAAATGGTTCCATTTACAGTTATTTTTGGTCTGTGTTTTCCCACACCATGTTTTACAAGACTTTTCCTCTCGGAGCAATCTGGGGCTGAGCCATGCATGCGTAGGCCTTGCCAGGCCTGTGTGATTCACCCCCACCTAACTGAACTACCAAAGCAATTCCCCACTAAGCTGCAGGTTCAAACCAAGTGGGAGAGTAGTTTTTTTTGATATCCCTTCATACTATTATTCTTTTTTTAAGTTCCTCAGTACTTCTACTGTCTTTCATTCTTTTATTTTTCTCTTTTATGGGTGCCATGTTCTTGGGAGCCTTGTTTAAACCAAGTTAATGGCCTTTTAAGCTTCCTCCACATGAGTTAAGGGTTCACTTTTTGAATAGTAAGAATTATATGTCGGGGGGGACGGGACATCAGGGTTTTAGAGATGGGACATGGCCCAAAAAAGGTTGGGAACCACTGGTGTACAGTCTTCTCCTTAAGCAGGGGGTTGGACTAGAAGACCTCAAAGGTCCCTTCCAACTCTATGATTCTATGAATCTATGTTTAAGTGATCATCCGCTGGGACTCCAAGGTCCTAATGATCGACTGTGATCCATCTCCCCCCTCTAGACATTGGGGGCCTTGTGATATGTGAACACGAGCGGTCAGTGCACCTCTTTGTGGACTCGCTTGTGAACAAGGACAAGCCGAGTTTTGCCTTCCAATGCACGGATTCCGGACGCTTCAAGAAGGGCATTTGCTTGAGCTGTCGGAAGAATCGCTGCAACAGCATCGGATACAACACCAAGAAGATGAGGAACAAACGCAACAGCAAGATGTACCTCAAGACAAGGGCTGGCATGCCTTTCAAAGGTAAGGTGAAATCCTACTACAGGTAGTCCTTGGCTTATGAACACAATTGAGCCCAAAATGTCCGTTCCTAAGCGAGACAGTTGCTGAGTGAGTTTTGCTCCATTTTATGACCTTTCTTGCCACAGTTCTTAAGTGAATCACTGCAGTTGTTATGTTAGAAACGCCGTGGTAAAGTGAAACTGGCTCCCCCATTGACTTTGCTTGTCAGAAGGTCACAAAAGGTGTCGTGGTTCGCCGGCAGCCTGTGCAGAAGGCAGCGGAATCGGACAGTGGGGAAGAAAGGGGATCAGTCCAGGAGCCTGGAAAGGACTCAGACGAGGGGCCTGTGTCTGAGGTAGAGATGGGGCCAGGACCATCTGGGAGTGGGGTGCTGCCGTCGGAGCCTCTGGAACCTCCGGAGTTTGGCAGCAGCGAGGCTGAGGAACAAGGGGAGCTTGTTCCCAGTGTGCGTACGCACAGAGCTGCTAGAGGGCGAGAGCAGCAGAAACAAAAGGGGCGACTCGGGAGTAAGGCTGGGAGGTGATTGCCCCTCCCATAAGGTATAAAGGACAGGCAAAGATGATGAAGCCTTTGCAGGAAGCAAAGTCGTTCGCTCTGTTTGGATTCATTTTTGAAGTTCTTTGTACTTCAGTTGGGTTTTTTTTTCTAGTTCATTTAACACTTCTGTTATTGGCAGCACTTCACAAGAAAGAAAGGTGGGTGCTTATCTCGAGAGATTGTTTGAGATTCATTACTGGCTGGGAATGAAAATAATTCCCAGTGTTGCAATAAAACAAGACTTGTTTTTAAAATAAGTGTGTGCGTAATTACGGTATCAGAAGCCTTGGTCAGGACAACAGGGGATCCCATGACCCCGGGACACTGCAACTGTCATAAATATGAGACAGTTGCCAAGTGTCTGATTTTTGATCACACGACTGTGGGAATGCTGTGTGAAAAATAGCCATAAGTCATTTTTTTTCAGTGCCATTCCCCGAGTCCATGGGGAAGCCTGATTCACTTTACAACCGTGTTACTAACTTAACAACTGCAGTGATTCACTTAACAACCATAGCAAGGAAGGTCGTAAAATGATGCAAAACTTGTTTAGCAACTGTTTTGCAACAGAAATGTTGGACTCGGTTGTGCTCGTAATTCAAGGACTGCCTACAATTAAATTTACAAGAGCTTTGCAATGGACCAAAGACAGCCCATCTTCTTTCTACTCTGTGAAGTAAGGAATCATCATCCACACCCTACTGCTTTTCTGGTTCTCTCTAGTCTTCCAGTTTGGGGTCCCAAGAACACCTATGGCCCTCAGATCCTCTGTCCCTTGTGAGCCATGTCTGTCTATGTTGCCACAAGTTTGCCACTCTAATGTTGGGCTCTTGTCTTTCCTCAGTTTTCCACTATCAGCTGAAAATCCATGTCTTCAGCTACAAAAGTCTGGGAAAAACTGAACCAGCATTTTCCGTGACCTTCTATGGGACCAGTGGAAATTCTGAACCTCTACCTCTGGAAGTGTAAGTGGAAAATTTCAAATATCAGTCCATCTCGTTAAAGTTGACATTGTTTTTTTCTGCTCTAGGCTTCACAAAATCATGAAACAGACTTCTTGTCCTGACAAAACCCCCTTTTATTAGGCTAATGTAAATTTCTATCATTCACATCCAGCAAAGTGCCGGCAAACAGTCTTTCAAGGGTGAATTATAACCATAGACCTTATCAGGCTTGGAGAGTTGCCAGGCCAATAGCTTCCAAGTGCAACGCTGTACCAGAAAATACTTGGCAAGGAGTCTCTGAGAGTCATGGATAAATCTTCACACTAATTAAGTGAACTAATTGTCTCCTGCAAACACTCCCGTTTCACCATATGGGAGGGGCCATTCACCGTCCACCTGTGCCTTTACTCCCGAGTCGACCCTTGTTCCTTAACTGTTCCCTTCTCCTGGCAGCTCTGCACATGCGCACATCGGGAACAGGCTCCAGCTGTTCTTCTGCCCCACTGATCTCCGACTCCAAAGGCAGCTGATAACTGTCAGGTGTCCCTGGCCCCATTTCTGCCTCTGACACAGAGCACTCATCAGAGCCTTCTCCAGACTCCAGGACTGGCCCATGTTCCTCCCCAACCTCCTCACTGTCCGATTCTACCGCCAGCTCTGCTGGCTGCTGGCGGGCCACAACGTTTTCTAGAAAGGCCACCTCCATGCTTTGTTTCCCCAACTCTGTCCTAGGAAGAGTTGTTAGATTCCTTGTTCCAAAGAGGGGAACGGTCCAGAGCCTTGGTGAGACCATACCTGGAATGCTGCATCCAGTTTTGGTCACCACATTACAAAAAAAGATGTTGAGACTTTGGAAAAAGTACAGAGAAGAGCAACTAAGACGAGACTAAAACGTATGAAAACTGGTTGGAGGATTTGGGTTTGGCTAGGCTAGAGAAAAGAAGGACTAGGGGAGACATGATAGCGGTAGTCTAGTATTTGAGAGGTTGCCACAAAGAAGAGGGGGGTCAACTTACTTTCCAAAGCACCAAAAGGCAAGACAAGAAGAAACAATGGATGGAAACTAATCAAGGAGAGAAGCAACCTGGAACTAAACTTCTCAACAGGGAGGACAATTAACCAGTGAAACGGAAGTTGCCTTCAGATGCTGTGGGTGCTTCCTCACTGGAGGCTTTTAAGAAGAGACTGGAACAGTCATTTGTCTGAAATGGTATGGGGTCTGTTGCAGGGGCAGGGGGCTGGACTAGAAGACCTCCAAGGTCTCTTCCAGCTCTATTCTGATTCTGATAGTCAGAGAAGTTCTCATGGTCTTTGTGTTCCTACACCGCATGTCTTAGTGCCTCCGTACTTTGAAACGAGGGTCGGGAACTTGTCCTTTGAGGGTCTAATCCCGTCTCATCATCTCGACTCTTGAACCCTGTGGGGCCTTGCTGCCTTCCCTTTGAAGCAAGGCTGAGCTGGTGGAGGAATGACATTTGTTCCACTTTGGTTTCCTTTTCAGATCAGATCAGATTGGCCTGAACTATACAAACACCTTCCTGGTCTACACAGGAGAAGATGTGGGTGATATTCTAAGGATCAAACTCACCTGGGAAATCACCACTCAGTCCTGGTACAACTTTTGGAGCCAAATGAAAAATTACTGGTCCAAGCCTGATCTCTCATCCAAAGAACTGCAAATCAGACGGATCCGTGTGAAGTCGGGTGAAACTCAGAAGAAGTAAGGATCTTGCTGAAGGAAAGTCACCAGTTCAGGAGCAAGCGGCCGTCCAAATGGTGGTGATGAAACATCCCACAATCTTTTTTCCGTTGGACAGGCTGGCTGGGAGGGAATGCTCAGTTTGAACTAAAAAACAATTCAATGTGCCTCTATGTTTATGTAGAGGTAGTCCTTGATTTACAACAGTTCATTTAGCGACTGTTCAAAGTTGCAGCGGTACTGAAAAAAGGAACTTATGCCAGTGGTGGGATTCATATTTTTTTTTTTTTACTACTGGTTCTGTGGGCGTGGCTTGGTGGCCATGGTGTGGCTTGGTGGGCGTGGCTTGGCAGGGGAAGGATATAGCAAAATCTCCATTCTCACCCCACTCCAGGGGAAGCTATCTTGTCAGGGCTCCGGTAGTTACCCCTATTTAAATCATGAGTCTCTAGCTGGATTTTCAAAGCTTAAAGAAGATTTATTAGGAGTAAACATACCAATGCTACCTGGGTGTAGCTGACTCTGAGACACATCATTCATTGTCACCCTTGACCCTGGTTTTCCCCCACCCCCTGGGTGTATTGTAATTCCTATTCTCCAATGGGACACATCCATAGCCAAGAATCGTCACTCATGCTCTCCAGTTAGAATTTTGTGAGGCAGAAATTTCGGTCACCTTGAAACTATCTTTGAAAACATGTATGGAATGTGGTTTCGGTTTTGCAAGCTGCTGCACTGCTTCCCCATCTCTTTCTGCTGGCAACTCTAAAAGACCAGATAAATATTTTATGAGTTGACAGATACTGCAAAATCCCCATTCCCTCCCCACTCCTGGGGGAAGGATACTGCAAAATCCCCATTCCCACTTCACCCCACTAATCTGCTTTCCAGCTCCATTCTCCTGTGCAGGGCAACCAAAGAAGACCCAGCCGGTCAGCTAGGACTCGATGGGAGGCAGAGAATAGATGGGGGCAGGGCCAGTCAGAGGTGGTATTTGCTGGTTCTCTGAACTACTCAAAATGGCCACTACCAGTTCTCCAGAACTGGTCAGAACCTGCTGAATACCACCTCTGCTTATGACCGTTTTTCACACTTACCACCATTGCAGCCTCCCCATTGTCATGTGATCAAAATTCAGGTGCTTGGGGACTGACTCACATTTGTGAAAGTTGCAATATCTTGGGGTCACGTGAACGCCTTTTGTGACTTTCTGACAAGTCGCAAAGTTCTGACCACTTTCTGACCAAGTCAGGGGTGAAGCCAAGGTTCACTTAACAATCATGTTACTAACTTAGCCACTGCAGCGATTCACTTAACAACTCTGGCCAAGAAAGGTCATAAAATGGGGCAACGCCCACTTAACAAATACCTCACTTAGCAACAGAAATGTTGGGCTCAATTGTGGTCGTTAAGTCGAGGACTATCTGTATGCGCCTGTCCTCAGCCTGCTTCCCCCATAAGCAAAGGCAGTGGGAGAAGCTGGATTCGCATGTGAATCAAATAACATCTGCAATGATTCTCTGAACTGTGACAAAAAAAGATGGTAAAGGCAGGGGCAATTCAATGACCTCCTTGCTTAGCGATGTAAATGCTACTTCCAATTGTCACAAGTCAAGGACTAGCTGTATTTTGCTCTTAAGTATTTCTTTTTGAAAAATTAAAACAACTTCCCCCACTCTCCAAGAAATCAAAATCCAGTGAAATAAAGTGCAAAGAAAGGGATTTGAAAGGGGGATGATGTGATGTTCAAAATGATATTAAAAAAATAAGAAAATGATGTTAAAAAAGCAGTGAATACATTCTTAGAACAGTGATGGCAAACCTATGGCACGCGTGCCAAAGTGGCACACAGCCATTTGTGCTGGCACGGGAGCCGCAGGCAAATTTACCTCATTGCCTATGCATGCGCTCCACGGTTGATTTTTTTTTCCGGTTGGATTGAGGCCTTTTTCAGCCTCCCAGAGCTTGGAAAAAGCCTCTGCAAGGCTTTTCAGGCCAAATTATAGGCCTGTTTCATCACTTCCGATAATTTGTCCTGAACAGACTTGCAGAGGCTTTTTCCAAGCCTCTCAGAGTCTGAAAAAGGCCTCAAACTAGCTGAAAAAATCAGCTGTGAGGTGCAGTGCAGGTAAGGGGGTGAAGGGGGTTTGCATGCGCGTGCACAAGGGGCATGGCAAGGGGAAGTACACATTACATTTTGGGTGCTGGCACACGAGTGCGTGTGCACTGGTGCACGCACAATTTTTGGCACAGGAGCCCAAAAAGGTTAGCCACCATTGTTGTCGAAGCTATTTTAGTTGTGAATCCTCATAATCTGGTTTCATGTTCAGGTTATGAATTAAAATTGCTTTCAGAAGCAGGACTTTATAATTAGAAAGAAAAAGGCCTGAATAATATTTTAACCTAACCCACCCATCTTTACAAATTAACTCAAGGATATTAGTAGAAGAATCTTTTATAAACCAGAGAATTAATTTAAGGCAAACAGTCTGCTCATCTGCTATCTTCCCATAAATATAATTTAAACCACCACCAATCTATAAAATGAATCTTTTGGTTTTCATGATAATAGATGCCAAAGTTTTCAAAAGAAAACTTCACTTTGCATGGGAATGATAACGAAAGAAGGAGGATGGAAAAAAGCCATTTCTCTAGAACTGGGACTGGGAACCATGGCTCTTTTGTGACTTGTGGACTTCAGCTCCCAGAATTCCTCAGCCAGTATGCTAGCTGGAGAATTATGGGAGAGGAAGCCCACATGAGTCTCCGTCATTTGCCAAGAGTGAAAAACAATGATCTTGGAATTAACGGTTTTGTCAAGGAATAGATACAAAATTTGAAGCTTGGTATCCCTTTCCATTTAAAGGTCCTTGTGTTGTATGTGACTTAAAAACGCTTTTGATTATTATTTTTTGTTTTCTTTCAGGCTTGTGTTTTGTGCAGAAGACCTTGGGAAGACTGACATATCTCCTGGTCAAGAACTCTGGTTTGTAAAATGCCGTGAAGGGTGGCAAAAATGGAACAGAACAATGTAAGTCCTGGTGCCAGTTTAGAATTTAATTGCTTGCAACAGAATTAGCCTGAGGAGTTAGCGGACTATGTTGCAGAGAAGACAATTCTTCCCCAAATCTATTGGGCAGGATTATCCCTTAAAACTATAAAAATAGGAAACTACCTAATTTGGGAAGGTTTGGAAAGATATCCAAAACATCCTCAAGACGTAGACTAACAGTATGCCCCTTAAGCTCCCTAATACCTCTAAAAGGGAAAGAACAAAGGAAGGACCAACGAAAGAAGTGATGATGGCACACGAGGAGAAGGAGAAATAGCACAGGAGGAGGAGGAGAGATAGTAATGGTGAAGAAGGAAAAGGAGGAGAAGAAGAAATTGGTGGTAGTGGTAGAGGAGGAGGAGGAGAAGGAGGAAGAGGAGGAGGAGGAGGAGGAGGAAATCAAATCTAATCTCAAGTCCAAGCTACTAATGCCCATTCTGGAGCCTTCTGTGAGCATCTGAGGACTACAAATTGCAAACTGGGGTGCAGGGATATCTGTAAAAGTGGTCAAAAAAACTTAACGTGGTAGAAACCTTCTATATATAAAAATAAAAGAACAAGGTTTTGATCACATGGGTCCACGTATCTCAAAGTTGCCAAGAGTGGGAGAAACCCTGCTCTAAGAGAACTCTCGGCCATCCCTAGATAAATCAGGCATTTTACTCAGCATTTCCCACTACAAAGTCAATTTAACTTTATGGTACCTGGAAGTCTCCATCAGTGGTTCTCCTCAAGCATGACAGGACCATTTGTGGTTCAGTGGCCATTAGTCAAATCTGAAACATCCCACAAACTCCCTGAAAGAGGAACTTGGCCTCCTCCCACAAATCTTTAGAGGGAGGTTTTTTCCCCTTTCCCCCTGTCTCGTTTCTCTTTGAGGCCAGTTCATCTTAAATTATTGTCAAAGCTCATCAGAGCTGTAATTTGAGCCTCTTAAATCATGTTCTTTGTTTTTCTCTTCCTTTCTTAGACCAGGATAAGACAGGAATTGAAATGCTCTCCTGGAGAAGCCGCTTAGATCCATCAGGGGCCAACCCAGCTGGAAAAAACGTTTGCTGCGACTAAAGACAAAAAAGACCAAAACGTGTTTCTGCAGACTTTTTCCTCTGGCTTCCTCACATGTCAGGACTTGCAAAAGCTTGTAGTTTAAAGATGGATCCGTGGGGGTTGCTAAGAACTATCTATTGGGAGGGAATAAACCCACCTGTTACAAAACTGGCCTCTTTTTGGAGAGCCTTTCTGGTTGTGCCTATGCCATCTTGCCTTGGTCGATGTTTGGGGTCTATGCCTCTTTTACAGGCCCAGTCAAAACAAATTGCACATTATTGCAACACCATAATTAATGTGAATGCAGACAGAGCCAATCATATGATATAAAACACTGTGGGGTCTTTGGTTCTCTCTGAACCTGGTGGGTTGTTTTTTTTTTAAACAGACATTTCATTACCCAACTTGATAACATCATCAGTGCTAGAAAGGAATGGGGTTTCCCTTCTGCTTATGTACTAGCCGCTTGCTCTTTCAATGTTGGTGGCAATGTTCTTGGTGGCTGTTTACTTTGGCTTGTTCCTTGATTGGGGTCTTGCTTGCTTGCTGATTCTTGGTCTGGGATTAATCTTCGTGTTAATCTCTAGTAATCTGGCCATTGATTGTTGGTGAGGAGGCGTTGTGGTCTCTCAACAATGACAGAGCAAACCACAGTTCAACCCTGAGCCACAAATCCCCTCGTCTATTGATGGAGCGCTGTTTCTCAACTTCACCGAGATTAAGATGTCTGGACTTCAACTCCCACGATTCCCCATCTTAATGTTGCCGAGTTTGAGAAAAGGAGTGTTCAAAAATGATCAGGGAAGAGGGTCTATTCCCCTACTTACTATTCAACCAATTTGGAGCTTGGGGATTTTCTTGCAGGTGTTTCATTACCCAGCTAGCGCTAAAAGGGAATGCTAGAAGGGAACGAGGTTTGCTCTTATTTTTTATATATTGGTGGCTTTCCGTGTCAGTGTTGGTGGGATGTTTTTGGTGATTCTTTGATTAGGCTGTTGTTTGCGGTCAGCTTGTTTGTCTGCATTGGTCGTTCCTTGATTGAAAAGCTAACGTTTTAAGAAATCTGATTATTACAGTTAATGCAACTTTCAAAGCAGGGTGCTGTTCAGTGGTGGTATGCTACCGGTTTGGACCGGTTCAACAGAACCAGTAGTAAAGAAAAAAAAAAAGCCACCAATCCGTTGAGAGAAGGAGGAAAAAAATCCTCTGGAAAATGAAGAGAAAAGCGCAGGATCGGCCCTCCCACCAACCCCTGCGCTCTCAGCTGATTGGCGCTGCAGGTCTCAGCTGGTGTGGGGAAAGCCGCACGCCAGCATTAGGCAAAGCACACCCACCAAACTACACCCACCAAATAACTTTCTAAGTGCGCACAACCCTAAGCTCTTCACGTAATAGGGGAGGAAAGGGTGGGGGGGTATTTTTCTCCTTCAACATTGCAGCTCTTAGATTCTCCACTCACCTGACCAAAGCATTGTGCTCAAAATTATCTGTTGTTTATCAGGCCAATACCTCCCTCTTTCTGGTTCTTTTTCTCTTCTAAAACATTTAGGAGAATCACTCTATTCTCAAGGAAGGAATAACTGCAGGAAAATTTCATCTGCCCCCCTCCAACAAATATTTTTTTAAAAAAAAATGACAGCAAAGCATACTTTTGAGTGAAATGAAGTCTGGTTTAATAAGAGTTGAACAGGAGACAGAAGAAAATTTATTTATTTAGATTTATTCTGTTCAGGGACCCATGACTTCTTTTAAGATTATTAGTTGTAGTCTCCCACTCATCCTGATCCTCTAGTCAATTAACATCCATGATTTTCGACAAGTTCAGTTGTCTTCTTCTTCTTCTTCTTCTTCTTCTTCTTCTTCTTCTTCTTCTTC